CGAGATCTCTGATCTGATCTCAGTGCTGAACAACTCCCCTATATATACCCACACTGTCTATAAATAGACCATTACATCAGCATACATAATGAGTCTGGAACTTACTACAAATTTCTAGAATGTTCCATTACCTTCTATTGCCTCCTACAGTGTTCTATTACCTATTCAATCAGTTTCTAAAAATTCCACCCAGTACGGTTCTAGAATATTCTCAGTCACACGGAAGTGGTAAACAAGTCGTATGCGACACTTGAGTTATGTATGAGGTATGTATCTTGGCCAACGTCACGTGTATTTGATTCAGACCAACAGTTTATTCAGTGCTTCTCCAGCTTTGAAGTGAAGTGTCTGCATTGGCAATTGTTGTGATGAATCATCTTTATGAACTTGACCAACGTTTACAGTACTTACTTTGAACTATTGGTCATCGCTACTACATAGGTCTTTGTGTAAATGAGATGTTGATGATCGCATAAATGGCGATGGAGTGTCGAAAGATGTTTCTTTCACCTCACATTCCTTTCTTTTCCGCCCACACTCTTTAATCGAGGTATTAGTGCAAGTTACTTTCGGTCTCTGGCATGTTGTATCTTATTTTTGCCATACTGCCTGTTGTGACTTCAATGTGCTTCCTTTATATAACGGCGGTACTAACAACATATTTATCGAAGCCGCCGCGTGTATGGCACAGGTGGCCATAGTGTGTCATTTTTTTTTTACAAAGAAGCGTTTACCCATGAGCCTTTGCATTCTTAGCGTGTGTTTTTATCATCACTTGGGATTCAATTCCAGCGCGTGCGCAGATGACGACACCCCCGCTTTAATAATAACAGAAAAGAAGACGTGATAGGGAGGATATACGTGACTAGGTTAGTTTCTGGGAATATATTTCCAATACATCAATTCCACTCTAATTTGAATGATTATGCTTTCGACAAGTCAGAAATAGATGTATTTCAAACACAGATTTAATTGATGAATTATATTACCAAGTCTCAATTGATCTTAAAATCATATTTTAAATACATTCATTTGGTTGTTAAAGCGTTCCCTATTTTACTTTTTGAAGTTGCATGGTGGATGTTCGGTGAAGCATTATTTAAGATAACTGCAGTTTTTATATATATTTGGTTTGAAAGTTGGAACAAGAAGTTTCGGTGGAATGGTGTGTTTCTGTTTTCAGTTCAATTTGAACGAAAAAATGATTGTAATGTGATAAAATTTTGCAAATTGAAACATAGTAGGCGTGATTTGCACGAAACAATTGATGTTAGTTTTAACATATCAGTGATGCTTCCATTCTGTATTTGTTCTAAATAAATATATTTAAAAAAACATTAGTTTTGATATGTTTTAAGTATATTTTATAAATGTTTGAAATTATTTTTGGCCTTTTAATTGTGCAAGAATTTAAAATCCTCTGTAGTATCTGTGGAAGGGTTTCTTTACATATTGGATGAGTGCTACACTGCCCGGAGTCGGTTTTTATAATGCTCCGCGTACATGAGCCAATCCTTTCTGCTTGATTTCCCATGATTCAATCCGCACTGACCGTTCACCCAGGCATGCACAATGTATGATTGAACAACAATCGAGTCCAACTACCCGTACATTGGCTATTAATAACACTTTCACTCCACGACTACAGAAATGGATAACCTGTAACTCGTTGTCTATACTGTATGTGACTCCCAGCGGGAATTCTAGTTAACATTGCATTTATCAGTACGCATAACTCGATTCTACTGCTGCTACTTGAGCAAACAAACACTTGCATAGGTATTAAGATGAATCCAGAGGAATTCCGCTCTTTTTCTACATACAGGAAACCGTACGTCACAGAAGCCGTCAACGAAGTGGTGACGAGAATGCCAATAAACAGTACAGACTGTTTACTAGATGTAGGATGTGGGTCAGGCGACTTTATAAAGGCCTTGGTAGGCGAACAACAGTTGAGGCAAGTAATTGGTAAGACAACATTCTCACTCAACATTCTATCATTTTTGAACTGTCCGAAACGCTTATTGTGATCGCCAGTAGTAATTCGTTATGTGACGTATTTCCAAGGTTGTCAGATGCGGCATTGCATACATAATTAATGTATGAACTATTCGTACTTCGCTTTGAATTTACAGCTTGGAAATAATATATAATAAAGAAGAGACTTCTATTCGAATATATAAAATTTCTGACTTGAACTACAAGGGTGTTTTTAGTTACCGAAATCACAGAGGCCTATCTTACAATAATTATAATAAAGGTTAGATAAATGGTACTTTGTGGTTCCATTACTGTGAGTCAATGGCTACCTTCAAATTTTGTTTAATCAACAATATTATTATATTATAACCTGCTTGAATTGATTGTAAATCATTTGCTGAAACTTGTAATAAATTAAATTGTGGTCAACGGACAATTTTGCATGAAATAACATGTGATGGCAACATTGGCATTTTAAAGTGGATTTTATGGCGACATCAGTAGACAAGTTAACTGTAAAACGAAAAATAATAAAAAAAAAAATCAGGATGAATGAGTAGAAATCAGATACACGTACCGGTCACTACGGTCCTACAGTTAAACAGCTTGCAGAAAAAAACAGTAAAAATTCTAAAAAAATCTTCAAAACAATCTTCCAAGTAAAATTAATGGAAAGTCCAAGAATGTAACCCTATTGTTTTTTAAAAAACGTACACCTTGACTGGAAACTGGAATTGTAAACAACTGCTTTGAACGTAGGGTTCTGTCATGAATTTGTTTTTGCGTATCTGTTGACCGACTTAATTAGCTGATTATTAGCGAATTGCTGTGTTATGTCTGTCATCGTTTAGGCCTATTTGAAGTTTTGGACGGAACTTGGCTCAGTGATTTGGAACTAATTACAAGATAACCGTCGCGATTCTGACAGTTGGTATCCATAGTTATTAATGTAGTGAACGATTAATCAAAAGATATGACGTATTCAGTACTTAGTGTGATTGGCTTTATGATTGAAGGTTACGCCTTAGAGTCTTTTTACTGCTTTGTGATTGGTTAGAGTTTTGAAAATGAATAAAGAGAGTTTGAGTTGGTCTTGGGGAACACAGCACGATAGACGCAGTCCTGGGCAGTCGAGTCCAGTCCCGGAGAGTCGAGAGAGAGCAGTCCTGGAGAGCCTTGGGGCGAGTGTTGACGCAGTCTAAAAGAGTCTTGGGTCAGCCTTGCTATAGTCTTGGGGATTATTTCCCCAGGGCGCTGTGTCTTATAGAGTGCTCGATTGACCGACTAAGACGAGAGCTGAAACGTATTTCGTTGTGTGTGTCTTATTTGACTGTAAAGCTTAACTGGCTTTCCCGATCCCGCACATCAAGGGGACGCGATAGAGAGACGAGACGAGATTTTCCCCCTGATAGTTCTATGCTAATGATGCCCCCCCACCAAACCCGTCTAAAGTTCATTTTTCTATCCCATATTCTTTTGCAAAATCCAATATAGAGTTAAAACGTCTCTTCCCAATAAACAGAGATTGCAGTTTCAAGATGGGTTCAAGAGATTAGCTTTAATTTAATGTTTACAGAGCTCATCTAAGTGAAATTATCTTTCAGCACTGGACATTAACCAGGGAATGATAGACACTGCTAAAGAGATGAACAGCGACCCGAGGATTCAATATATTGTAGCTGATGCTGGAAATGCAGACGGTTTTAAAGAAAGCTGGAACAATACCTTTGATAAAGTGGTGTGTTACTATGTTCTGCCGTACATCAAGAATTGGAAATCAGTTACACTGAGAGGGATTTGTGACTGCTTGAAACCAGGTGGACGTGCTTTTATCAATGCTGTACTCAAGTCATCACACGGGATTCAAGCAGTAATTAGTGGTATGGATATCCCAAAATGGAAACACTACTTTTGTGTAAGTTAATCAAGTTGTGTTGACACGCTCATATATTCAAACCGATGTTGTAATAGGTGACCAGTTTACTTAGCCTACGGTTAGCAACTGCAAATAAAGGAAAATTAAACACGGTTCATCTTGGAATATTATGATAAAAAACTACCATCGATGTTGTTATTTGTTTTATCGCCCAACTAATTGCATTATAATGTATGCATTCACGAATATGTCTTGCGCTTAATACCTTGTTCGTATAGTGTACAATCACGTCGCGGCAGGCTTTAACAGAAATAAAACGCCGGCGTAATTTAATTCAGGCCTGTGTAGCACGCCCTCTGTAGGTCAGTTTTGAATATACGCAAACTATTGCTGATATCTTTGTGAATTCAAAATGGCGTAGACGATATATTGACATTTATTCACATGGCAGAACATACTTTTAAAATAGAGATTATTTTTAATATTCTATTCAGTAAGAACAACACATTATAGTAACTTAATTAATTTGAAACAGAATACTATTCACAATGTGTTTCCACGTTGGTGTATAAGTGTAAAGATTATTTGCCAATCAACACCTGGTCCTGAAATTGACATAAATCAGCTGTTACAGGTTGAGATTACAAATGTACTATAAACATTGGTATCAAATCTACTCTTCCATGCGCAGAATAGCTCAAACCTAGTTAACTTCATTTTCGACAAAGTCGGACAGAGCTATTCGTATTACTGATTGCCCGCCGTTTGTCAGTTGTCGTTGTGTGGTTTTACCAGTGTTCCCTCTAAGCCTTATTTTCGCTCAATGTTCTCAGATTCAATAGTAGTTTCTCAGTGAAATTTTGTCTTTTGATTCATAAAAAATTAAGGGAACAGTGCTCATTACAAATGTATCGCGCATGATTCTTACTCAGATATGTTCATATTGTGACAATATTTTAAATTCTCTAATGAAAGTCTGTAAAATATAAGTTTGACTTTTGGATTGATATTATATATGTGGTTATCATTGGTGGACTTCAGTAAGATTTGTTGGTTTTGTGATGAGAACTTCAATTCTCCAATTTATTTTATTTTCTGTAATTTTATTTTATTTTCAACTTATTTTAAGAAAAGCTTTTAAGTCGCGTGGCTTTCTCCCTATCAAGTTATATAAGGCCATATATTTTGTTATTCCCACGACTGTATATATACATTCTTAGTAATTTATATTCATTCCAGACGTTGAGTGAAACCAAAAACTATTTATTTATTTTTCTAATTATGATGAGTTATTACTACACGTAAACAGCCATTCATGCTTCCATCAAAAAAGGTCTTGTGTAAAGAGTTGTATCGGGTGAAAAGGTTGTCTTTTTTCTGTTGTATTTTCAGGATTATACGTATCCATTCTATATAGAAGGTGTTAATAAAGATGATTTTGCTAACATACTGAAAAATATTGGATTCAAGGTTGTTTTTTGTGAGTCAGAAGATCGGGATATAATTGCCAACGATGAAGTGCACGCAAGAGGTATGTATATAACTTTGTAGATTATTTATCAAATTAAACTACTATCATACATTTGTGTATATAATTGCCTAATTTGTATAATAATTCATTTGGGTCATTGAGGTAATCCACAGACATGATTAGTTTAATGTTGATAAACATACATATTCATTATATATTATAAGCCCATTTCTGATATCTAAAAAATAGATTTAAATTGAATTCATTGCAGATGTGCTCTGGAACTAATTAGAATATAAAACATGGAAGAAAAATCAAATGTATTTCCTGTATGTATTATAAATGATATGATAATGTAAATCACATTTTTGTCATGTTATACATCTCAAATAGCAGACAAAAATTAGTGCCAAGCTTCTTGTTTGAAAAGCATATCTTAAATGTTGAATTAATTGTAATGTGTCCCCAATACTCTCAGCACACGGAAGTTCTTTCTAAGCTTTCTTTGATTGTTGATTATTATACGAAGTTCATCATGGTTTCTTCATCGATTGCTTGTTCAGCTCAGTGGGTGGATACTTCACAGCTTGGTTGATCAGAAGGAACGTTGTTCAAGTCCAAAGGCGTATCACTGGAAAACAAACAAGCTGACCGATTTATGGGTAAACCCGTAAAAACTGACCAATCTTGTAGAAGTGTCGTTGCAGGACAAAGAAGCAAAATAGTGATATAATTTTCGTTTTGTCTAGCTGTGTTTTGTTGGTGAACATTTTATACAACATACTTGCGTAGAGGTAGTTTCATAATGCAGACTAGACTGTCAAATGAAGTGGGTGCCCATCAGATCCTTAGATCGAGGGTGTCTTTGTGTTGTTTGTGAAGGTTGGTGGGTGATTGTTCCATGTTCTAACCACGTGCACATTTGACTATAATCCCAAACTTTCGATATGTTGCAGAGTTTGCCCACTCAATCGACCGCATTCCAAAAATACAATAGTTATTCTTTTCCCATTATTGGATGATCTGTTGGTTGGAAATATTGGAAGACAACCACCCTTTCAAGCCTATGACCAAAACTAACTAGACCTGCTTAAGAGGCACATCAATGATGCTTCCTATCCCTACAGTGGGAAGCATTTTTCCAGTTCAAGCATTTGAACACCTTGCCTGATTACACTTTTCAAAACACCTGACACTGGTTTTTGTAGACCGTGGTTACCATTCTCTTAATGATTTGAATACGTATTGTAGTGTATATTTCAGTTGTGTGGTATTGTACTTGTGGATTGTTATGTCATCTGTTGTGAGGCATTTATGTTCTTAGACTTTGTCAATATGAATTATATTCAAGGATCTATATTTCCGCGTTTCTTGTCACTATGACAAATACACTTCTTTAACATTGCCTTGTACCAAATACGTATAGCAGAGAGTGGTGCCCCTACTACTCAGCCCTGGATTTGACCCTCCTTTGTCATGTCTCTAGAAGCATGCACATGTCATTAAGTGCTATTTTCTGCAACTAGTGGCAACCCGCATATTCTGTTCAGTCACAGTTGAGCACTTTTCATCTCGTTCCCGTACCTCCTTGGACCACAAGTCAGTAATATAAAACAATTTTACAACTTTAACAATGCTACATGACAGAGCTATGGGACTTTGCCCAACGTAAGGTTCCCTGCCATGACAAAGTTGAATGCTGGCTAATTGTATCCGCCCAGAGGTAATACCCTCGCAACCACAATCATGGGCCTCCTAAAGTAGTGTTATGCTCTTCTAAGGAACACCCATATCAACTCTGTCTATCAACTCTGTAAACTCACCAATAAAGCCCGGTCATAAGATGTTACTACATTGACAGTCTTTATTCGACAGCTTAGAACTGAACTAGCTTGCATTACAAGTATTATGATTGAATTAATATAATGTAAAAGACTATTATTGTTTTTTGCAAGTGTTGGTATGCCATTTATTATGCTATAAAGCTGCAAAACACTGTATGTGTACTACATTATGCACAATATACAAAAAGACTCGCTGAATTATTATTTGTTTTCTGTTTGTTTCAGCTATCTGTCGGCAGATGACACATCACATGAAGTGCATACCAGCAGAGAAACGTGAAGATTATTTTGAAGATTTCTTTCAACACTGTAAAAATGAATCAAAGCAAACTGGAGATGGCCGTATAAAGTGGCACTTAGATGTGCTTACAGTTGTTGTAGAAAAATAGCAATAACAATTATTGTCAAGAGGTTCAATATATATAAAGACGCCAAAACCTGCATTCCCCTCTTGTCTGGGTTCTGGTTACCAAATGATCAAGCAGGCAGCAGAACTTCAATTTATTCGTGGGTTGCTCACATATGTACAAATGAGTTTTACGGGGGTAAAATAAACTTCATAAGCAGTTATTATGCTCAAACATAATGTATATTATTATACATCTGTCACCGTAACACCATAAGTATTTTGCAGGTTATTTTCATCCTACCATATTAGGAAATGCGAATTCCAAATATGGAATGATTACGTGCGTAAGCTCCTCTAATAATAAAAACGAACATGGATGTCACAAAAGTAGTTTAAGATAGACTATAGGTACCACCATGAGGGCGCTGTTCACATTTGGATGGGAAGACGTCATACGGGGAGGGATCCGTTCATAAATTAGCATAAATGATCGTACATGGCCGTGAAGGGGGTAATTTGAATGATGATGACGTAACAATGGGATACTGTGAATACATTTGTGCTTACAGTTGTTGTAGAAAAATAGCAAAAACAATTATTGTCAAGAGGTTCAATATATATAAAGACGCCAAAACCTGCATTCCCCTCTTGTCTGGGTTCTGGTTACCAAATGATCAAGCAGGCAGCAGAACTTCAATTTATTCGTGGGTTGCTCACATATGTACAAATGAGTTTTACGGGGGTAAAATAAACTTCATAAGCAGTTATTATGCTCAAACATAATGTATATTATTATACATCTGTCACCGTAACACCATAAGTATTTTGCAGGTTATTTTCATCCTACCATATTAGGAAATGCGAATTCCAAATATGGAATGATTACGTGCGTAAGCTCCTCTAATAATAAAAACGAACATGGATGTCACAAAAGTAGTTTAAGATAGACTATAGGTACCACCATGAGGGCGCTGTTCACATTTGGATGGGAAGACGTCATACGGGGAGGGATCCGTTCATAAATTAGCATAAATGATCGTACATGGCCGTGAAGGGGGTAATTTGAATGATGATGACGTAACAATGGGATACTGTGAATACATTTGCATACATAAAATATATTTCAATACTAATTCGTAACGAGGTCATCGTGAATAAATTTGCATAAGTTACCACAATTTTTTTTAATTAGTATTTTTTTTAATTATTTTTTAATCGGACGAGCATGAACGTCACGAAAGATTTTTCAGAATGTATCGTCTCGGTTAGCCTCGCTCAACTGGTTCGTAACCAGTCATGTGATTGGTTGTTGACAAATTCTGAACAAGCCACACCTCCAACTGTGCCGTGTGTTCGGGCAAACCGTTAAGTATTCATAAATGGAGTCAATTTGTGTAGTTTTCTTGATTTATTCTGCAGATATCGGTAACATATTGGTAAGGCTTTGGCGAAATTTGAAAGAGCAACCAATATTCTTCAAGCCGGTAGAGCCTTCATCCCTTGTCTATTTCTTACACTAGATACCAGCCGATACCCCCCCCCCCCCGCGCGCTCATAGAGACTGCGCACGGTCACGGTTGATTATAGTTCCTGGGCTCCCTATGATGTTATCATGTTGTGGACGCCAACATTATTGAGTAAAACAACCATCGTTTCTCCGAGAGCGCAAGTTTCGGGATCTAAGTTCATCTAAGAAAGTGTGAATGTTTTTCGAGTTCTCAGTTGATATTTTAATTAGCCTGTCTTCTGATTGGTTGAAACATATTATACATGCCAATCATTACAAGCCCGAATCTGGCCGGTAATGTTAGGGCACTTACACTGATGGCAAGTCTGTTGGGATTTCGCGGTCACATGACTTTCGCGTTCACCCCTCGTTTACGCAATTTTTCATCGGAATCGCAACAGACTTCAAGCAAGTCTATGTAAGCGTTTAAAACACTAATTTGAGCAGCGTCTTTCAGAAAATTTGATCTTTTGAAAAACTGGTATGATTATCAAGGTCTGAAGTAACCGTTTTATCAATTTTTGAAAAATCTAAAAAAAAAAATTCCCTTCTCGCTGCCATAACAATTCAGTGTTATAAATAAACACATCATTTATTGTCGAGCTAGAATATAGATTACTGAAATAATCAACCCATTGATTTGGTTGAATATTAGATAAAATGGTGCTATTTTTATTACCTATAAACTGTTTACTTCTCTTTGTAAAAGACATTATGTTTGCTTTCTGTCTATCAATGTAAGATTGCTTTCTTTCACGGCAAGTGTATTTATATGTGTTGCACGCACTCTGATAGACTCTCAAATGGTCAGGGTGGTTTGTACGCCGAAATCTCCGTAACAATTAATATTTTCCCTCTTTGAGCATTTTACATGTGGTGTCAAACCATATCGGTTGATTACGCTTACACCCAAAATGACTTTCTCCAGCTGTCTTCAGCACCCCTGTGAAAATATTTATACATAAATATTTATATTTAAACGTGTTTTTTTTTTTCATTGGAAAAGTCTGCTGCTCCCATTTCGGTAAGATCGTACTTTTTACCAAACTAATTATACACCATTATATGACTATTTTACGGTAGAAAACTACACAGACGTAAAAGTATTGCCATTTTCTGTAATTTTTACATATTTGATATTTCGTGTTACGAGAATGACGAAAATGAAATAAAATTATAGAGGTCACCGTTCTCGGTTCGGAGAAAATCGATGTGGAAAACTAAGTGAAAATGTTTTAGGGCATTTTAGTTACCATGGTTTCCTGTAGAACAAATTCATCTCAATATCTCAAAGTTTTACTCGGCAACCTATGGTGAAAAAAGATATAGTGTCTCACATGATGTCTAGACGTATAAAAACATTTACAATATTTTTTGTGGATTTTATCGAGGAAATGTGTTTTTACTGTAGCCTATGGAAACCGCAATCTGATTAAAATAAGATCATAGTTTTGGTTATGGGGAAAGCCTACAAAGGCATGTGGCGATAGTTAAAAAAAATACCGATTCACTAGTACATAAAACATAAATATATTTGTACCGCCCCTTTTTTTTAGGCCGAGGCTTATAAATTACTTTGTTTTTATAAGTTTCATTAGTTCTAATCTATTGTAGCTTTCGTTTCTCAATCACTACTTAGTATCCTCGCAATAGTCTTGAAAACTAAAACCTTTGTAATGCAGTGTACATTCCTCAATGTGTAGGCCTCCCTCAATAGTCATATAAGCTAATTACTTTGTTTTTATAAGTTTCATTAGTTCTAATCTATCGATGATTACGTTTTCACAATCAACGTGAAAGGCGCCCTCGATAGTCCCATAAGCTATTTTCTTTCGTTTTTGCATGTTTTATTGATACTATTAGTAATCCATAGGAGTTTACGTTTACAAATTGATTGGTAGGGCCTCTTCAGTAGTCTATAAATTAATCACTTTCTTTTTTTAAAGTTTGATTCTAGTCCATCTCTCAATTAATTTATTCAAGATGAACAAACATTTTCAAACATCTGTTTAAAATGAGAATTGTTGTTATTCGTAATTTACTTCATTAACTTCTATATAGATATATAGATATATAAAAAGGACAATTTCTTTATAGCACCATTGGTGGTCGCTTTATACAAGGGTGACTTTCCTAAATAATATAATGCATTGGTCCCTGGATGCCTATCAAATATACAGTACAGCAGGTCAAGTGACTTGAAAGAAACAAATACAAATGCTGTCTCTCTTTTAATCAGAAACAGGTTTAATCTTAAATTCAACATGTATCCATGAACCATATGTGTAGAATTTATTACAAATGCTGACCTCAGAATTAGCCTAATCGAGTTTAGAATCTTATCAAATGCATTGCTAAAATCCCAAAATAATAACAGAGAATGAAAGTAATGATAGGTTAAAGTGGTAGCAAAAAAGATTCGTATGAAATGTTAGCAAACTCCCTAGCAAATTTCTATGAATATTGCATTATAGCGAGGGACTTTCTCATTGGCGCTATCTAATGTTATGAAAAACGTTTCACTACATTTCGTGACTCCCTTCCTCTGGTGCCACTTGATTTTGGACTAAATGATGGCTGAGTTGTTTTTATAATGCAACATTGTATACTGAGAAAGTTATCAATTCTCCGCACGAATGTCATTTGCGGTCACTTAACTGTCGGGGGGAAATTGATGGAGTTATTGGAACGTTTTCAGGGAAGTCGAATGTTAATGGTGCAGATCTTGTACTTGAGCCAAGTACATTATATGCAAGATCAGAGGTGATGACACCAACAATTTTGCGTGGGGCGGGGGGTCTTCATAAACTACTCTCTTTAAAAATTTGGAAATCTAGACCCTCTAAAATAATATATCCTGCACAAATGGTTTCAGCTTGATTTGGGGGGGGGGGGGAATCCCCATATGTGGGTGGATTCCTTGTCCATAGCAGTTACGTCTAGGTGGTGGTCTCAAAAACCTTTTTAAACCCTTTTTGCGCTAAGTAAAGAAACTCATCAAAAATAAATAAATATATCAAGTAATTTGTAGAATTTTTAACAAGTATACACACATAAAAAATAGAATTATATTCATCATCAAAAGTACAAACCAAATATCAAAAATATTTCGCAAGTGGTTTTCAAGACTAGCTTAACTACCTAGCTACAAAATGGACACTTTACAGTCACCAATATGATGAGCTCTACATAGACATATTTCATTTAGAAAAAATAGCCGATATTTATTCCAATTCCAGTACAATAAGACTGTAACATCACACTTCACAACAAAAACATGATTTATTACAATTTATTAGCTTCCAAATTATGAAGCCACTCATATTTATTTTGAATACTTTTCATGAAAACACAATACAAATATTTACATAAAATTATCTTACAAAGCATTAATTGAAAATAATCGCTGGAAAAATATAGCCTGGCAGTTATAGAGGTCAGCTTTTGTTTATTGGTGAAATCGTATGATTTAACAGCTATTTGACATTTTTTAAAAATCTACATTTTCTTCACTAATTATTACATGGTGTTGACAGTGACTCAATTCGATAAAAGAAGCTGCTTGTCTTTAAAACCTCAGAACAAATTTTCCCTGCTATGAAATGATTTGAATTTCCCAAACTCCCAAATATTGTCTGTCCTGAAAATTAAGCAATGCACAAAAATACAAGGTTACTGTGGATATCAAAAGGTACAATGGATGTACAAATATATGACTACATCAACAAAGTCGTAGCAAAGTTGTCTGAGTGAATATCTTGGTAATTCATGTAATAACATCCTCACTGAATATCTTTAAACTGATACAAATGACATTTGAGGATTGAATTTTTTTTTTCTTTTACCCTGAATATGTTGACCTAATATCTTATACAGGGAAACATCCTATGGCATTGACAAAACAGTAGAACACATTAAAGGGCGGCAGTCGTCGTGCCGTGTCCTGTTCAATATGGGACTCATAGCAACGTACACAACGTGTGTAAAGTACATTGTTTATTTACATGAAATTCGAACACTGCGCAACGACCACCGCGCTTTAAAATAGCTGCATGACATTTTAGTGAATTTGACATAATGTATGAATTAACAGAATCTTAATTTAGCTAAAATTGCCAGCAATCTTATTCTGACAATATATTTTAAATTTAATTTAAATTAGTCATCTTGGATTTACGAAATTACAGATTGGCTAAAATTAGTGAAAATAACATGCTAGCTACAATGACGCATATTACAATACCCACACTTATAACTATACACAGCACTATATTAATAAATATTGACTGTTTAATTAAACTTTCTTATATTTGAGGCAGATTGCAGTGAGTAATATTGTATGGACATAAACATGCCTCTTGTAAGTATTTTAACAGCTGCAAAGAACACTGAGGTGGATATTTGATACAAATACTTCATAACTACAAATATGCACTGTCAAGTTTGGTATGGTAATGAGATATTACTAGCATTGTATCTAAGCACTAGTGGAGTGATGTATAGTGGCTGGAACATTGTATAGATTAAAATATGTTTTAGAAAGAACCTTGTGTCTATTATGTAAACTGTGACACAATTTTACATGAACACATCAGTTTGCATAAATCTGATATAGTAATGAGACATGAAACATGAGATATTACTAGCAATGTACCTAGGCACTAGTGGAGTGATGTATAGTGGCTGGAACATTGTATAGATTCAAATATGTTTTAGAAAGAACCTTGTGTCTATTATGTAAACTGTGACACAATTTTACATGAACACATCAGTTTGCATAAATCTGATATAGTAATGAGACATGAAACATGAGATATTACTAGCATTGTACCTAGGCACTAGTGGAGTGAGGCTTTAGAATAAACAGTGTATATACCTTAAAAACATTTTTCTCTATAACAACATCATCCACATATAACAATGGGTTTTAAGTTTAAAATTTTTTCCTCAAAGTGAAAATTTACAACCAGAAAAGGTTCAATAACTTTATGAATGCCAAGGTCAAATTTTGTCATCTTATACAAAATAAACTAGTAAAAATTTGGAGAAATTTTGATCAGAACAGTTGGAAAATATACCCATTTTTGTCCAAAATTGACAAATAATTTAAAGAAATATTGCACCAATATTTAGGCATAAGAAAATGATTGTGTTCAAAAGGTTGAGTGGAAATAACATACAATCATACATACAATAATTTAATTCGTAATATTGAATAATATATAGTTAATATCAAATTTGACAGTATACAACACTGTTTGAATTGAGCAGCTGGATGTATTTCATGGAAACTGTCAGTGCTGTGGGAGTCAGCATAATAATGCTTTATTTTTTTCAACTTTTGTCAAAAATTTTGAACCAGATTTTGTATCCAATGGAAAATTATGCCCATTTGGTCTAAAATTCACGAAAAAATATAATAGATAATTTTCTGATCACTTGATGATTTTGTGTTATAAAATTGAACATAAACAAACAAAGGTCAAAGTTGCATGGGATTCAACAAACGAGAGTGACAATAGATTAGAATTAATGAAACTTATAAAAACAAAGTATTTTAGAGATATTTCCACACTTAGGTTTAGTAATGTGCTATACACACATTTGATGATGATCAATTTCGATGAAGTATAAGTATCTCAACATCATTTTTGCTTCTGAAGAATCAGAATTTTGACATTGAACCATAAAAAAAAAACCAAATCATTCAAGTTGTGTGCCACATATTTGGTCTGTGATTTTCACGTATTACAAAACATCTTGCAGTGGATGGAAAATCACCTATTAACGTTTTCACCAGCATATTTTGCCCAAATTTTTCAGCACTTTTTTTTAGAATTCTTCAATATTTTTGGAAATGAATCCTAATTTTGGAGCCAACAGACTGAATTCGAGTAAATTTCCAGTTTTCACCCCAAAAAATTGGCTATTTTTGAATCAATCTTCTGAAAGAAAATGTAGGCTATACACTATTTTGTGAATTTGTAATGAAAAGGGGTAACTGGTGGCGAAAAAAATAAAATGTGCAAGATCAACTTTGTTGGTAGAAATGATGGCACTATAGAATTAAACTTTAATTTTATGAGACAAATTTTGGGGAATTTTATGAATCAGTCAGTGAAATTAGTTAAATTTTCAGGGATTCTACGACGAGGATAGAAGTACAAAAAAAATTTGTCTTTACAAATTAAATTATAAAAAAGTGCTTTATAGTATTCACAAAATCATGGATCTTTTCAATTGAGTTTCAATTATGGCATATAAACATTATTAACATTACATTATTATGTTCTCTTATATGGATGTCGCATACATGATGTGGCCTGAGTCTTGAAAAGTCTGCGTCTGTGTCTCCATCTTAGCAAGTAGAAAATCGTAACATACATAGAACTGCGTAAGAGAACAGCCGTGGCATCCACTTTCCAGGAATGGTGCCATCAAGTCATACATCATATGGATCTGTGGCAGAAGTAATGTAACGTCTTTTGGGTCGCAGTGAATGAGAAGTACCAGTAACATTGTTGGCATGTCGTCTCCTGTTAAAGCTTTTATTTCACAACGACCTGTAATGTGAAAATAAATTCCTGATTATTAGATATCATATTTGATATTTTAATGGAGTCTTTAATATTTCTTTTGCATATTGTTTTATTTTTTCTGTATTTTTTCTTTTACAATAATTTTATTTTTTTATTTATTTACTGTTACTTTATTTTCGCTTGGAATTAATTTTCGCTATTTTCGCTGTAAGAATGATTCAGTGAAAATAAAATCCAGCGAATATACTGTTCTTCCTATATTTTACATTCAAATCTTCAAAAATCAGTGAAAATAAAATCCACACAAAACACCCAAAAGGTTTTTTCAGCGAAAATTAATTCCAGCCAAAATAAAGTATTTCACAGTATGAGAAATTAAAACTACTAATCCTTTAGTTCATATCTACATCAATCAAACATATTTACCCGCAGATTGTTGAGAAAGCAGCTCCGTCACCAGCGAGTTCATCTGCTGAAGGCATTTTGTGAGACTCTGTAGTTTTCTCATTAATGAGGAATGGTGCAAAATACCTGTGATGCAGTCAACACATGACCTGACATTTTCAAGAAAAGTCACATTTTGCCGGCGAAGTTCGTTCGCTGGCATCACCTGCATAGCTTTTTCTTCTATGCTGCCACAGCTCATGTACTTCCAGTGCTCATGCCCAGAAGTCTGGGGAATGGGCATGGCGCAACAGTGCTCCGATGTCATGCTTTCATCATCATCATCATCATCATCATCATCTTCGTCGTCGTCGTCATGGCAACTAACATCCGATTCATGAGAATACAAAGAACTTGTGTCACACTGAGAAATCTCTTCGTCAGTTTTACTCTCACTATCTTTTGTGTCGTGAAACACTTCAGCAGTGCCCCAATCTGTACAATGTTCATTCCCACTATCGACAGTATTTTTAACAGTTACAGTTTCTAGCATCTTTTTATTGAAACACACTGAATCAGTTTGTGGTTCTGACAACACCAAAGATAATTGTTTTTGACCGTTCTTCTGTCTATCCAAGGTGTCCTCCTTTCTTTGAACTATCGTGGCAGGCAGACTAGAATCTGACACAGGTACGGCAGTTCGCGATCTTAACTGGTGCGAAGACGAAGCACTATCTGACGAAGTACCACTAATATTGTCAAAACATGCTAATGCAAACTGCACATGCTCACTGTTTTCATTTATATTGGTTGAAACTTGCACATGCTCAGTGAGTGTATCCACATGATTGGTTGGTGTCTGCATTCTCTGCACCTGTTCAGTAGGGTTACTTGATCCCAGTGAGCCATCTATAAATCCAGGATCTTCAAGCACCAAGGGATGGCACAACAAATCCAGAATCCAGTTTTCTTGTATCTCCAATTCTTTCATAGTTATTGTTGGTAAGTTGTGCTGCAGCTGATTTTGCTCATTTATGTAGGCTCTCTGAAAACATAAAAAAATAATTCAACTATTAAATAAACTTAATTTGAATTCATAATATATTAATAATATATATATATATATATTAAATTTCAGACAAACATCAAATTATCAAATTTTCTCATTATCATTCATATTTTTTTAAATAATGCCAATTTTTTCCCAAGTAATTTTTAATTGTGAAAAAGATTCCTTGAATGCTCAGAAAGGTGTTTTGAATTCTGAGAATATTTTGAATTCTGCAAAAGAAGTTTTGAACTCTGAGAATATTTTGAATTCTGAGAAAGATGTTTTAAATCATGAAAGGATGTTTTGAATTTGAGCACGAAGCCTTGAATTCTGAAAAAGATTTTTGAATACTGAGAAAGAAGTCTTGAATTCTAAGATGGATGTTTTGAAATCTGAGAAAGATGTTTTGAATTCTAAACTATCATTAAATTGCATGAATAATCCAAACATGAGCTCTGTACAAACCTCATATAGATGTGCTAAGTTTTGCATAGTTCGTTCATAAAAACATTGCTCATAGCACCGCCACAACTTTCGAAAAAACATTGGATCTTGGTTGTCTTCAGCCTGCTGTAATAGTCCTATAACCTGTAAGCAAATAATTACATGCATTACAATCATTGTTCATGCTAACACAACAACACAGCAATAATTGTCCACAATCATGTAGCACCCTGGGAAAATCTCATAATAGTTTTTTTATATTTGAGTCACTTTCTGTCCATTACAAAACATGTAGTACCGGTATCTATATTTCTTGTATATGGGAGAAAACAGATGAAAACATTTTTAACTTTGTTTGCATAATGGAAACTATTTGTAACTAGCGGGAACAGGTGACATTTTCTTGCAGTTACGCTCTATGTTCTATTTTAATATCAGTGAGAATTGTTATACTCCCACAATTCAATAGTGAGAATCCAATTTTTTAGCAATTTATTGGCAAGACTTTGAATACACACAAATACATTGATGAAAATTTTGATTCTCACTATTAAATGAAACAAATTTGTGAAAAATATTCAAGAAGTGATAACAATTTGAATTATCATTAAACAGTGTGAATGAATGTTTATCAATAGATATATTTGTGAGAATATTTTTAAGTCTCGCTGAACTTCAAGGAAGTGTTCATTTCTTGCTATTTCTCTCCCTTTTTAGCAATACATGTAGTTGTAATATGCAAAAAATCAATGGTGAAACACAAATTATTCCACTGTCTTTCTGTTTTGTAAGATTGACTGCAACTTAGGCATCTCATCACTACACTTTTGCTCATGACTTCACTCACATCAACCTGCGCTTATAAACATGTGATATTGAATGATAACTTCATTACAAGGTCTATCACATACATACAGGATGAACTCACATCCACTGTTATATCTACCTTAGTAAAGTGTTTCTTGATTTCTGCCGTGATTTGGTTCACTTTGTCCTTATATGGGTTCATGAGAGGAAAGTCTAATTCTACAAAATCGTCATCTGTCAGGGTCGTTTTCCTTCCATTTACATTCTCTGTATGGTTTGATGATGTGCTCCAGTTGTTAGACTGCTGTAACTGTCACAAAAAGAAATGACTGTCAATTTGTGTTTTTGCCAACACCTCCCTTTTTTTTTTCAAAATTCCAAATGAACCAAATTACCCAACCCCATGAACACTTTAATCTCTTTCATTGTTCATATTTGAAAAAAAAATGGTCAACAATTTTTAAAAAAAAGAAAAAAAATTCAACTGTACACAAATTTTCCACCAAAATTTTGACAGAAGAACTCCAAAAATCAAATTTGTCAATAATTGAATCGTCATAATTTTTGACAAAAATGATTTCATGGCAATGACTGTAATCAATAAAGAATTCTGATTGACTGACTGATGAAAATAAGTCAAACTTGATAAATGAGGGATGGCATGAAATGATTGTGAATCTACAAATGTAAACTTGCCGGGTAAACCAGAACATTGCTGAAACACCTGTTTCATCATAAAGCTTTACTAAATCAGCTTCCAAGCCTCATTACAATATTTATTGTCACATGGTAAAAGGTAATACAGTAAACTAACCTGTAATACTGTGGAGATATCTAGTGAGGAATTATTTGAGATGAGATCTTCTTCCATTGCATTTCTACAGTATTTATTAACATGATTACAGAAATCATGGTGCATCCTTCCAATAGGGTGGCTCTTTGAGTTCACTAACTACAAATGAAAATAATAAATTTTGAAAATATAATAAAATACTCTTTTTGAAATCAAAGAAGAATGTAGCTGTGTTAATTACTGTATACTTAAGGTTGTTGAAAACTGGAGTTATTGGTATTCTAAGACCCCAAAAATGATGGAGTTTATTTAAATTTTGACCTGAAGATGTACCAGTAAAAGTAATAGCTGATAGCTGGCAAATGAGACATCGATGCTATTTCCACATTCTGTATATTGTGGGCCAGTGTTAGAAAAACAAACTTCAAGAATAAGTATTTCCAAGCTAAAAATACTTAATTTACAAGGCAATTGACGTTTTTGTTATTCAGATTTTTTCACTAAAATGTCATTACTTTTCAAATATGTATGTTAATTGCTCTGAGCAATGCCTTCAACCTTCATGTTTCTGACCAATTTTATATTGTATGATTTACCTGTATATTATATACCAGTACTACAGGTCGTAGTCTAGTACTGAAATGAACGATACTGAACACAGCTCAAAAGCTCTATAATATTTTAACAGCGAGAATGCCTCAAAGATGAGCTCACTGTGCTGAAAAATAAAACAAATATACTCACCATTGTTATCCTCTCAGACAGGGACTGCCACATAGTCGGCCAACTGCCCCTTTTGAGAACTGGCGAAAAAATGTAAAGTTATCTAGGTGAGAGGTATACCTATTTCACACATGTTAATGTCACTTTCTGGGACTGCACAAAGGGAGATCAATAGCGTACTTTGACTGATGGATGTGGTCAATTAGCTTTGATTCCATATACAATGGTATCCACTCAATATAAACTTCTAGTGTTCAACTCAAACAATTATATAACAATTAGGTTAACTTTCTTTAGAGTTGCAAGGTCTTCCCTCGTGTTGAAGGCTGGATAAAGTCAGGTCAAAGTCCTTTGCTTTGTTTAATTTTGAAATGGGTGTGTTTTTAGTACACTATAGAGAACCTCAAAATTCTGTTTCATTTACTATCTGGATTATGCACCTATGAAATAATGGAGGTGTGTCTATCGTTATGGTCGAAATAAGTCATTATTTTATGATTCAAGATATAATAAATGAAATTTTTAGTGAAAACCTGGTAGGGTCAAATTAAATATTGTAAAATATCAAAATAACTCATCCTGTCTGATGTCTAATTTATACCGCATAATATGCAAATGATATTTAAAGCGAGTGAGTCGTTACCTGCGCATGCGTCAGATGGCCATAGCGTGTCGTTGTTTACAAACAAGCATCTACCCATGAGCATTTGCGTTTTTAGCGTGTGTTGTTATCGTCGCTTGAGACTCAATTCCTGCGCGTGCGCAGGTGACGACCCTTCCACTTTAATATACTGAAATAATTGTTTGAATTTAGCGTTAATTATGAAAATGTTAACATTTCTTTTCAAAAATATATACATTTGCTACATGCATGAAATGTTAAATAATTATACGTTCTTTGCATTTTTAGCTACTCACCATCGGTAGCACTTTCTCCACTCAGTAGGCTTATATCAACCCCAGTTGTCTCCTTGCCAAGCTTCAAATCCTGGATGGCATGGTTTAGCGCCTCCCTAACACTAATGGCTCGTTTCTTTTTGTCCATAATGTGCATAGCCTCAGTTTTTAACTCTTCTATCCTGTCAGTATTATGGACGAATTCTTCTTCGGAACTCTTGAGCTGTGAAGAAATAAAGTAATTGGTTCAGCTGCATAAACCCTAAGGGTCACAGGTCAAACATCCTGGTTCTTTTGGGATGTGGTGCTATACTGACAAAATTTGACTGTTTTACATTACAGAACATATTTGTCAAGCCGAAGAATTGATTTTCTACGCAATGCGATCAAGTTTCAGGTCTTCTAGTTGCTAGGTTACCATGCATGCAAATGGCAGTTGCTATACTTCCAGTTAACACATTGCCTGGTGACTCCATTTTTTCTCATTCATATTGCCTAACCGCGGAGGCAATGTGTAGAATATGGAGTTTTATGCAGATGTGTTGTGACTCCAGATTTGAACCCAAAATGTTGTATTGCTTTGTACAGGTTGATTTTTAAAAGTTTACTAAATGTTCAAAACTAAGAGAAATATAATTTTAGTCATATAAACTGATGAAACAAAATAAAATGTAATCTTGATATCTATATCAACATTCAAAGCCTGATCTGAGGTTATCTAACATTTGTAAAAAAAAAAAATTGCAGCAAATGATCTTATGAACAGTGGTTAAAGGAATCAATTCGTCTTTTTATCACTGAATCAACACTGCACATGCTCAGTAACTTGCAACCGAAAAACTAGCTAAGAATCAGGACATTCGTGAACTCGAAAACAATTAAAAAACAAGGGTCTTACCTCATACCACTCGTCAATATCAAACAGTATCAAATTATTAATGTTTTCCCGTAATGACAGAATTTCTTCCAAATGATGATGAGTCATGTCTCTATCGTGCCGAGCACTGAACAAAATACAAATTAAAACACATTAAATAAAATTTCCACAAAAAATATGTCCTGCCAATTTAACTGTTGCAGTACATACATATTTATTTTATGTGATTTTAAACTCACATGATTATGACACATATTTTATAGTACTGTGGAATACTTTATTCCCGCTAGAATTAATTTTCACTGAAAAGGCTTTTTGGGCGTTTTGTATGGAATTTATTTTCACTGATTTTTGATGAGTTTAATGTGAAATATAGGAAAAAAAGTATATTCGCTGGATTTTATTTTCACGGAATCATCCCTTCAGCGAAAATAGCGAAAATAAATTCCAAGCGAAAATAAAGTATTCTACAGTAACTTTTTTAAGTGTTGCATGTAAATAGGCACATGTGTTTTCATAGGCCACTGTAGACTGCTTTAATAATTTCATGAATTTCATTAAAATTCTGAATATTTGACTGGGTTCTTTTCAAAATTTTGTCATTATGAACATCATTAAATCATCAAATCATGAACTTTGAAATGTTTACAGAAAACATTATAGAAAAGAAGACGAAAAATGTGAGACAAGAAATACATAGCTACCATTACCAGTATTCAACATGTTGCATGGGACCCATACTGAACATGACATGGCCATTAACATTCTTATTTACATATTTCTAAAATATCGTATAAATTTTGGATTATCGAAGATAAAGATGTCCTTCTGGTTAACCTTTTCACCACCAGACTTCTTTGCTCAAAAATGTCTGCACTTTTTTTCTTATATTCTTTAATATTTTAGGAAACCTAATTTTGGAGCCAACAGATAAAATTTGTGTTAATTTTTCAGTTTTTACTCAAAAAATGTAGCCATTTTTGTCGCAATCTTCTGAAGGAAAGTGCAAACTATTATCAGGATTATTTTGGAAAAGTTGATTCAGTTCGTTGAGGATATATGTAATAATTAATGTTTTCTTCTCACCAATCTAATTGCACTGTGGCCTCCTCACTACAGTTGGATACTTCCAGCTTAGCATTCTGTACTCTTTCTTGGCAACTATTCAACTATGGATAAAGTAGAAAAAAACAAATTTGTTGTTATAGGTTTGTTTTTTTATTGTAACCAGATACAGGTGTAAGGTATGCAGACAACTACTATAAAATTGTTTCAAAGCTTTGCACTGTCAACCAATCAGTATGCAAAGTTGTGAGAAAAATATCATGCAAATTTTGACCCTTTCACCACCAGACTTTCCCGCCTAAATTTGTCTGCACTTTTTTCTTATATTCTTCAATATTTCTGGAAATGAATCCTAATTTTGGAGCCAACAGACAAAATTAGTCACTTTTAGTTCTTACTCAACAAATTTTGCTATTTTAGTCCCAATCTTCTGAAGAAAAGTGCAGACTATAAAAGGAACTATTTTATGAATTTGTGATGAAAAGAAGGAACTGGTGGTGAAAAGGTTAAAGAAAATTAAATATAATTTGCATATTCACCAAATCAACCAATCAAGGTGTAGCATCTTGGATTTAGCATGCAAATTTAAAAAATAATAATAATATAATTTGCATATTCATCAAATCTTAACCAATCAATATGTATTAAGTTGGGTTCAGTATTCAAATTTCATATATAACAGATTTTGTTAAACACTAACCTCACTCCGTTTTTCTTCTTCAATTGTTGGTAAAAAACTCAATAATGCTTTTAAAAACTCTCGATTGCTTTTATGTACTATTTCATCCCTCTGTTGGGAAAAAAAATAGAAATTGGAATACTATCATATCTGAAATTCACAGTGTGGGTCTTCATGTGGGGTCTACAACAGGAGCTTATCCATAAGTTGGTGAAGATAAACATGCACCATAAAAACTAATAATGCATTGTTCTGTATTTTGATGAGTTGATATAAACATGCCATATAGTTTGATAGTAAGTCTAAAAGTTGATCAACAATTTTATCTGTATTTTCCTCTTCTCCAGTAGGGTAATTCATTACATTAAAGCTAAGACATAGAGGGTAGGGCAGCTATGGACACTGTTAAAACATGTACACAGCAAATCCATGTATTTATTTAGGGAAGACAGGAGGTGGGAGTTGAAAATGATTTCAATTACTATTAGCAAAAATCACACTTTTTTGTTTTTATTTATAGTTTGTTACATTGATATCATGCATGCAAGGGGAAAGGCAAATGTTGAACGAAGAGATTGCGTTTTGAATGCCTGTTTGTGATAACCGAATACATCTACAATAAAGTTGGTTGACAAGAAAGACAAGACACATTACACAGTGGTACAGTTTAAGCAGGCATCCGGTACACACAGGATAAAGTTTTGGTAGGTGTATATAAATACATATATTTAACAGAATTCCACCAACATGACTCATAATATTTCAAACTGATTACTTAGGGTGGTAATTCTCATTTGTTTGCCTACACTTTTATGGCCCATTACTCTTACATGTAGGTATGGTACTGTTATTCACATGGTAGTAAAAAGCTATGACTGATACACGGTAATGAATAGTTTAAAAAGAAATTAGAGTGGCTGGGAGCCAACTATCTGGTTTTCTGTAATGAGATTGACTTGTTATAAAGAAGGAGCTTTCTTTTAACTAAGTAAAAGAAACTCAGCAGCCAAACTTATCTATTGGAAATGTACACACTACCTGGTAAATGTTATGTATACAGACAGTTTACCTGTTGCTTGGATACACAATGTGGTGGGCTAGTTTATAACTCCCTAGTTTATGTTTTACTTTCTAGTTTGTAAGTTTTATATATGAACTCCCTAGTTAAAATTTTGATATATATACTCCCTAGTTTTATGTATATTAACTTCCTAGTTTATCAGTTTTATGTATATTAACTCCCTAGCTTATCAGTTTTATGTATATTATCTCCCTAGCTTATCAGTTTTATGTATATTATCTTCCTAGCTTATCAGTTTTATGTATATAAACTCTCTAGTTTATTAGTTTTATGTATACAGCTCTTAAGTGTAAATTTTAACTCATTGAATGCTATAGTTTTTCAAGCCAAAACTTTGATGTAATATTTTCTGAATTTTTCAGTAATTTTCTGTAATTTATTTTGTTAATTTTGTATCAAATGGACATTACTACCTATTTACTACAAGTCTTTATCAGATTTTGTGAAAAAAAATATAAAAAATAAAATTATAGAGGTATTTATGCAAAAGGTTATCTTTGCATTATAATCATACAGAAAAATTAGATTATGGTTTGAGGCAATGAATAAATAGATTTATACAATATTAGTCTGAAAACAGTATCTTTGAAGGTTTTTAATATTTTCTTCAATCTGCCGAATGCACAAGTGAAAGAACATGTACAAAGACAGTACATCAGCTGACAGGTAGCAGAGGTCTTTGCAACCCCATACTACCTGAGCACAATCTTTGCAGTATTCTCATAATAAAAATTTAATAAAAGGTAACAGCCTGAAATGGCAACGAAGAACAATTTTGTGGTGTGTAAACGCTTAGTAACAAGATTCTATTTCCATCACACGCTGATAACGCTTCTGCGTTTGATGTAAACAAAGGAAAATATTCATCAATAATCCTAAACGAGTCAATCTTGGTGACGTAGTTTATCTCGAATAAAGAATAGCATCAACATTCGACCAAGCGCAGATACGTTTTGCAATGAATACAGATACAGCTTTTTGTTTTCGATGTTTCATGTTCAGTAACATAATTTTAAGTTTCTTGTTTTCACTCATGGGACTGCATGACTTTGTCAACGAATGACCAGCATAAATATTGTCAGTTACAGTCAGTTGCACACGTCAGAGGCACTGTTTATATAAGAAACACGAAAAACACCACATAGAAGAAAACAGCAAAATGACAATGGAAAAACAAAGTCAGAAATCGAATGTCACTGGATAACAGTATATTAACAAAGTAATTGTCACCTGTTAACAAAACATCCATTGAAAGCAGCTGTAGAGAGTCAAGAAAAAAAAGAGAAAAATATAATATCTTATATGCATGAACGAACAAACATTTTAAGAGATGTCACGTATTGTACGCTGTAGTCTAACAGAAGTAAACAGGGTGATCCTTCCAACAATGACTGAAGATGGTAAACAAGTACCTAGGCAGGGGGCATACTTGTGGGAATGAGGTTATAATGAGATGGGTCAGTGACTTCCATCGGGTGCACTACATAGTATATCAGGGTTGAACTTAAAGCGGGAGTGTCGTCACCTGCGCACGCACAGGAATTTAGTCCTAAATGAGGATAACAACACATGCTAATAACGCAAATGCTCATGGGTAGATGCTTGTTTGTAAACGATGACATGCTATGGCCATCTGACGCATGGCAGGTGACGACTCCCCCTTATTAACATTGGTGACCAAAATTTTAAACCAATGCCAATGGAAAGTTATTATTGAAAGTTTTTAAAAAAATTCATAAAAAAAATAACTCATAAATGTGCATTAAAAATATGAGAGTAGATTATCCTACCAAAAACCAAAATTCTCAACCATTTGTGCTAAACGGACAGGTTTCTCGTGATTTAAGTTCCAGAAATGATTTGTTAACACTGTTCATGTACAAGACTGCCTACAGTTTTAAATTACACTGTAACCTCAATATAATGAACACCTTTATAATGAATTTCCTGATATAATGTCTCCCGCTTACAACAAACCCAATGTATTATGTGCTTCAATATAGTGAACATTTCACTATAACAAACTAATTGTATGTCCCCCAAAGAGTTCGTTATAACCAGGCTACAGTGTACAAGTTTAATTATTTTCATGGGACTATTCCACAAACACTGCCAAAGCACAAACACGATCACACAGAATATTTTTATTAAAATTAACGCTTTTTGTTTCCCCCAATATTAACACACATATCCTTAGACACAATATATACTAAACAATTTCCCCCTACACTAATACTCAAATTGTTCGACACCATCTTATTTCCTATTATATCCTTCCTTAGAACGAGTGACAATACCTCACATATATTTGTTATTGATTGTCATGAGTGTCTATGACAACAAAGGCGATAAACAAACAACAGATTCTAGTAACCATTATGCTGTGATAAACCTTCTATAAATTACTGTAAAATACTTTATTTTCACTTGGAACTTATTTTCGCTGAAGATGATTCAGTGAAAATAAAATCCAGAGAATATTTCAAATTTCAATCAGTGAAAATAAATTTAATACCAAATATTATTTTCAGCGAAAATTAATTCTGGCTAAAAATAAAAGTATTTTACTGTACCTATCAACATGGAGTTTGTCCCATACAACATATATCCCCCAAAATCATGTGAATTCAATCCTTTAATTCAAGCGGTAGACGGACTGTTTATTTTCATGCTATTGCCAGCACCCCTACATCCTCTAGCCTTCAACTCTTTAGATGCATAGCAATTACCTGTCAAAGCTGGTGGGTGATTTTAATTAAAAAGGACCTTGCACCATTGTTTCTTTTTATGTAATCGCATGGAAGCTGGGAAATGTTCAGTAGCATAAATGTGAAAATTGAACTTGTCTGTACACTGTAAAATACTTTATTTTAGCTGGAATTAATTTTTGCTGAAAAGGTCTTTCGGGTGTTTTATACGGAATTTATTTTCGCTGATTTTTGATGAGTTGCATGTGAAATATAGGAAAAACAGTATATTCACTGGATGTTTTTTTCACTGAAGCAGCGAAAATAAATTCCAACCAAAAATAAAGTATTCCACAGTACGTCACAAAAAGTATAAACATTTATTGTACTTCTTTATTGCTGTAACAGCAACAAAACTCTTTCGAATAAAGCTTTGAGTTGTTTTCAAGCTTTGTCCTTCATTTTACACCTGTTACTGACATATTGAAATTGTGTAATGTTCCCACTCAGAACATTTTTGATGTGGTTAATTGTGGACGGTTTGCCAATTTAAATTGTATCAATGATCAAATTTTAACTGCTATTAAATTTTCTTGGTATTTCCTAAAGTCACAAAATTGAAGCAGTTCAAATTCAAATTAAATTGAATACTGAAATAATAACAATTTTTTTCATTTTTTCTACTTATCATAATGCTTCCTGTCAAAATGTTTGTGCCACATTTTTATGACTATTTTTATAATTTCTTGTTAATTTTGAATCAGACATTCAGGATTTTATTTTAGCTACATAGGTTTAGATCAAAACTCCTCAAACAAATTCAAAAAAAAAAATATTCAGTTTTTTTTTATTTGTGAAATGTGTAAAACTGTTTCTAATGGCTGGATTTTAATGTGATTATACTGTATATTTCAAATAAAAAAAAAAAAGTTGAATATAAAATAAATAAATATATAAAAAATCTGCCCTACCTGTAGTGAAATCAATATACCGGTACATTAAATTGACAGGTATAATGAAAATGCACAGTAATATAATATGGTAATTACAAAGACTTTTACTGTACTCCTAGAGGGTCTAGATTACTTCATATGTATACACAGAATGACATTTTTCTATGCACCTAAAGGGTCTAAATTTTAGCAGACGTGGGAAGATGGAGATGAGTTAACAAGCAGAATCGAAATTATTATAGAATGACAATGTAATTTGTAACAATGGGGGTAGGGTCTACGCCTAGTATTACGCACACATACAAATATAATCATGACATACCCACCCTCCAATAAAACATAATGGCTTAACCCTAAATTCATGACAGTGGTCTCAGACATACAGTAAGTATATTTGCATAACAAAGGAGTTGTTTGTTTTGTGAAAGTGGAGTAGACATTCCGTATGCCGAGTAGCACATGTTACAGCCAGCATAGGCTTAGACAAAGGCAAATCCCTTTCAGAGATCACATACCACGAACACCCATTCATTGAGTGAGAAAAATCCCAAAGACTTCTGTAAGGTTAAAATTGGGTTACCAATACTTTTATAATTGAAATACCTGAAACACGGAAGAAGAATTCTCCATTTCTCCCATAATACAATTGACAAATTCTTAGAATAGTAAAAAGGCAGCAAGAAAACAGAAATTGACAAAAAACAAATCTGTCTTTACACCTTGTGATTTTTACTGTTCCACTTCAATTGTCAGCAATATATTCCAAAAAAAATCACAAAATATTGGTTATATATTTAAACCCAGAGGGTTTTCAAGAAAAACAATGAGATCTATTTTTCATTTTGACAAGAAAATATTCCATAACTATGACAATAATCATAATATAATAGTTTTGTTGTAATTTAATAATTAAGGAAGTTATGGGTTGTCTATTTCAAACCAAGTGAAAAGTGATGTGAAAAAAACAAAAAGAGTCTGGACCAAGTTGTTTTGAAAGCTGTGCGTTTGGTCCAGTGGTGAGCTTGTCTGGTTTCCTAGTCATATTTTAATTATGCGATTGCTTTCCTTTCATGTGCTAAATTTTTAAATTTCTGTTGAGTTTTCAGTCAGCTTGTCATCTTCTGAAAATTAATTGAATTTTGTATGAGTAGTCACTAATTTATTTAGCAGAAAAAAATTACCATATTTTTTAACCACATTTGGTGCCACATTTTGAAAATTTAAAAAAATATTTCCATAATTTCTTGTTATTTTTGAATCAGATAGTCATGATTTCTTCTTTAGCTATAGTCGAAACCAAAACTTTTGAGAAAATACTAAAACAATTATGCAGTTTCAGTTTGTTAAAGGTGACGAAAGTTGAGCTCAAAGAATTTAAAAAAAAGAATTTTAAAAAAAAAATAAAAATTACCACTGACCCAAAATATATATTTTTTAATGTTCACCAGTTGTAATTATGACTATCGGTAGAAAGAAAGAAATTGGATGCTATTATAAACAAATAAATAAAATGCATCATATTTATTTTTAATTTCCAGTAGAAGAAAAACTGTCGAGTTGAGTCACACTTGCACTCACAACAATTAGTAACCAAATCTGGACACCAGTCAGTAAAAAGTCTAGTTTAGGAATTAATTCAAAGTACAGATAATTCAAATAAAAATTCAATAAAAATACAGAGTTATATGTGAACAAGTTTAACAAGAGAGTGAAAATTTAAACTTTAACCGCGAAAATTTAAACTTTAACTGTCGCTGACTTTGAAAGCTGAGATGAAACGTTTGACTTACCCCTTGCAGAAAAGCTGCTAATTCCCTTGCTTTTTGGAGCAGAAATTCTTTGATTTTCGTCATCTCGCCAGTTTTCTTGTTGAGCTCATGATCCAGTTGATGAATTGAGTGTATCTGTTAAAATAGTCAACAATCACAGTTACCTTATATATATATATATATATGTACCGGCTAGAAATTGCATCATAGGATGGGATGTCCCACTAATTGAAGGGGTGATGGGTCTTACCTGTGAGGGTCATGTTTACTAAGAAACATAAGTGCGGTTATTAACAATTACATAAAAATTTGTCATGCATTACTAGATTTAATAAGCAGAATTTTTCAATAAATGTCACTGTATAACATAATTAAGCTGAAAATAATTTTTCTTTTAAAATTACGTTCAACATTTAAAATGGAATGATCTGACTTGGGATTGTTGTTCACAATGATTGTAACCAGATACCAAGGAATGCCCCATGCTTACCATGTTACCAAAGTACAGTGGGAAAATATGCACAGGTGTAGCGTGGCAAAGTTCCGTTTTTTTTTCTTTTAAATAAACAACCCTCATAGGTTGTGGTTAATTAAACAAATACTTTCCCTCCCAGGCTCTATATTCTTCACAGAAATTGTTCAATTACGACGGATGGCGTCACCTTTATACCATTAAGGGAAGGGCACTTTTTTTTTTCGAAAACAGAATTGACTATTTTTGGTATGAATGCATTCTAGGTGCAATACCCATTATGTAAAACAAACAAAGGGATGAACCAATTATTTTTCGGGGTTGGTGGCCAAGAATGAATTGAAAGATGTGGCTCAGAGGTCATGGCTATAATTTGCCAATTGGCATAAGGTGAATAGGAATAGAAACATGTTGACTTCGAAACAGAACAGATAGACAAGTTGTTTACTTGTAGAGGGGCATTTCTGAAAATATTTGAGCGAGAAGAAACCACTTGGGAAATGATGTACATAAGATGGAATGAAAATAAAATATTTAAAATTATCAGATATTAAATCAAAAGAAAACATTGTTTTGTTTTTATCTTAGTTGGCATGACGACATCAATTTGTTGATGGTTTATTCAGGCTTTACTGAGTTGCGGTTCATTTTGCTGAGTGGTCTTCCATGGCAACAACAGTAACAGTCACAATTGTAGTCTCATGACATTTTTTGAACGTCAACACATTATATTTATGTTCAGAAATAACAAGAATCAAATTAAAACAAAGAAAGCGAAATACAATTAGAACTACAAAAACAGTTTAATTGAAATAAAGTCAATAATTTATGGTCCTAGGAAACTTTAAAAACAAAATAATGTTAAACAAAAACATACACGCTACAATACCTCTGGTGACGACAGACAACATACCATGATAACATGTTGTTACTGCCCTCTTATGTCAAAAATAGCTGTGTGTAAAAACAATTAGAGATTGATGAATGAATGAATGAATGAATGAATGAATGAATGAATGAAAGAAAGAAAGAAAGAAAGAATGAACGAACGAACGAACGAACGAACGAACAAACGAATGAAGGAAGGAAGGAAGGAAGGAAGGAAGGAAGGAAGGAAGGAAGGAAGGAAGGAAGGAACAAATAATTAAATGAAAAAGAAAAGATGAATGAACAGATTAATGAATAAATAATTTGACATTACAAATACACATCATAGTAAGCTGTGGT